AGGTAAAAAAGTGTCTACTTGTTTCTCAAAATCTTTATCACTTAGATTGAAGAATCCTCAGAAGTTAATGTTCTTCGTCTCTTTCAAAAGCTCTGCTGTAACAGAGGGAAATTGTGTGAACCTTACTTTAGTCAAGTGTAATACCGCACATGTCTGCAAATGTTTTGGCCCCAGTGTTTCCGGTTTGGGGGTGGAGGATGGCCAGCCAGTCACTTTTTGATGGAACAACATTGCCATCAAGCGGCAATTGTGTATTACTCCATGAGCAAATGCAGCTGTAATGAGACGGAAGTTCAAAAGCTAATGGTTCTATAAACAACGGACATAAAAACAGAATGAGTGAATTAACAGCTCAGTAAGTGCAAATTCAGTGATGTTAAGTATTTATTTTCATTCTCTATAACAAGAAATCCATTTAAAACCGACCCTTGTATGATCTAGTCTTGTGTGTTTTTCATCATATCTAGAAAAGTAATTTACATAGGGTTGGAACCCTAACACTAACGTTAAACCATAAAAAAAAAAACAATGAAAGAAAGTTTTACTTCTGTCTAGTATTTTGTTAATATTTTAAACTGTATTAACCTTAAAATTTAGAATAAGACTCAATAGAATTCCGTCCGTGATATGCAATTTTTATTTGGGTTACACTCTTCTTATTTTAATGCACAACTACTACTATTACCGCTATTAATAGTACCATCACCAAACCTACTAATAACAACAACGGGCTAATAATAATAGGCCTACGCTGAAGCTAGCGGCCTCGTATTATATTTAATTAGCCTACATGCACACTGTTAGAAAAAAAATATTAAGTCCACGAAATAACATTTCCATGCATAAATACTTACTTCTCCTTTTTCATTTGGGGTACGTTCTTGTGTATTATTGTATCACAAGCATCACAAAATTACTACTAGTAATCATCATCACCATTATCATGTTGCCTTTCCTTTTGATAGTTGTCGATACTCACAGTCTTTAAGCTTCTGATAATGGAGTTCAATTACAGAGATTCTTTTTTTTTTTTGAAAGAAAGAAATAAAAATATTTAGATTATTTATTCGAAAGCTTTATGACGTTATTATTGACATCATTGTGTAGGTAGTTATATTACACTACACCGCCAAACCACACACCACGACATGACCATAATTCTTAACATGTTTTTGCTATTCATATATACAATAAAGCAGATTTAACAATCTGAATTTTAAACTAAAATAATAAACTATAATGAACATGCTTCGGGTTACATTTTAGGGAATCTATAGTTGGCGAGATTTAATGTAATGTGTGGTTTTGTTTTTGAGAGAATGTAATATTTCTCTTTAGCAACCGGCCTTTGTATCACCAAGACACAATCGGATGTGTACCCACAAAATGGCGAACTCGAGCCCGGTCTCAAAGATTGTAAGCAAATTAACGTTGGTCATCCCAGACGTCTCGCCAGAAATCCTTTTTGTGGCAGTTTATGGCCCGCTATAAGGGCTGTAGTGCGTTCGGAAATGGAACAAAGGGTGGGCGTCCATTGAATTGGACTCAGGGCTCTCATGTGGAAGTCCAGATCTCACCCACCCCGACCCCCTACTCTGTAAGGAATCTGGATGGCTAAAGAACAAACGCTGTACACAATAAACGACAAATGCGAGAAAGGGGAAGAAAAAAACAGGCTCCCCCAACAGAGACACAGTCTTTACGCAAATTATTTTGCCTTACAATTATTAGAATCGTGAAACGTTTTTCACATTTTCTTCCATTTTTTCTCGCGTAGTGTTTGCTTTACAGCCATTTAGTTCTTAACCTTCATACATTTATACCCTATAAAGTTTTATTACAGTCATATTATTTTATTGCGGCACACCACATTGAATTTCTTTCTCTTTTTTTATGACAGTCGACTTCCCATTTCCTCCGAACATCGAGCGTACATCCTTTCTGCAGTTTGTTTCCTTTCAAAACACCAAAATAAAGGGCGTTAATGGTGTGGCAGGACTCAAAATCTCTAGATTCACCAGGACAGACTTATGCTGAATTAATATGTGACGAAGGCTGAATTCGTGCACACATCTGTGAGCCAGGACAACTGGCAATGTCTTCAAAAATATTTAATTGTTACAATATGTTGAATGCAGATCTTTTTTAAGCTGTCTCCTTTCTCTTCTAATTTGCAATTGCATCAATTACATAATTGTTCGAATTTTGACAGTCTAAATTTGTAGTCAAATCATTGTATTTTTTGTAGTCTTATTCTATTTTTTAATCCTGTAAAACTACATATGACCAGATTTGCCATCGCATTTGATACTACACTCTGATTTTCTCTGCTAACAGTGGGACTTAGTCTTACATTATCGAGTGTCTAGAACTTCAGAGTCTGAAACATTTAGACCTACCTTATCCCTTTTAGTTTGCATAATATATCATGCATCGCCTCTGCAGGCAAAATATCCTTCTTGACTTCTGATGCATAACTTACATCTGGAGGATGCGGTATAGCCAAATATAACACCACAAATATCATAGGGGAATCAAATAATACGTTAAGAAGAGAACCAAAGCAAAGATGAGTCATTGTTATTCTGGGTAATTCTTCTTTCCACATATGAGCTGCACGTTTCTTCATTCCGATTCAAGATGAATGCTCGAGCGCACGATAGCATATTTACAACATATGACTCATTATAAAATGCAGTAAATATTAAAGTAGAGTACTACAGCATGTCCTTCGCTACAGCACAAAAAGGATTAGATAAACTTTGGGCTGTTAACAATGAAAAACAAAGGGCAATTATTGGCAAGCACGCCAAATAAGGTAAAGAGTTGACATGTGCTATAATAATAATAATAATAATAATAACAACAGCAACAACAATGGTAATGATAAAAAGCAGCAAAGACTTCAATTTGACAAAAAATGTATGTTAGTGTGTCGAGCTAGTATCGATAACACATACACAAAGATATGTCATGCACAGCCACGCATATTTATTTTAATTACATGATAAACGTTTAGATTTCGAGAGAGTTTCTGTTGTAGTGATACACCAAACTGTGCACTCATTTAGAAGAAAAAAAATATATACATATATATACAAAAATATATACATTTTAGATTATACTGTATTTGGGTATCTTTCACCAATCTACATTATAGCTCTGTCCATAAGAATAACAAAACGTGTGTGGTTTATGTGTAAACTTTTAATGAGTCCAGCATCAACAGTGCAATAGCACAGATTAACAACACAAAATAATAACACAAAAGGAGACAGAACAGTCGTGTACAAAAACAATTTAGATCTTACATTACAGGTTAAAGTCCGGTGATGTAGGCCTAATTATTTGTCTTTTAATAAATGTACAGAAGCCAAGCGTGTTAGAAACTAGCACAAAAAGTGTGTGTGTGTGTGTGTGTGTGTGTGTGTGTGTGCGCGCGTTTTTGTGACAAATGAGGACATAACTTTGTATAATGACAAAGGTATGACATAGGTATTACAAGGAGAAGGTGACTTTTCAGGACATTACCCCATGTCCCCACTTTTCAAAACGCTTATAAATCACACAGAATGGAGTGTACTGAAAATCTGAAATAGCACAAAGTTTCCTGTAAGGGGTAGGTTTAGGGGTAGGGTTGGTGTAGGGCAATAGAATATGCGGTCTGTACAGTATAAAAACCATTACGCCTATGGGATGTCCCCACTTTTCACACAAGCAAACCTGTGTGTGTGTGTGTGTGTGTGTGTGTGTGTGTGTGTGTCTTGAATGGACGTGCGTTAAAGAAAGTGGGAAACTGTTGTATCTAACCGTTTAAGGAGTAGCTAATTGACATTTGAAGATAGCCGCGCTCAATTTCTGTTGTCAAATCACAAAAACATAAAACAAATCTCTAAACCAACAAAGCCATATGAAGATACGAGCAAATATAGAAAAAAACATCACTGACAATGGACAACGGACATGATTCTGGACACAAGAAACGTGTAAACAACATAAGAAAAATAAAAGGTTAGGTGTATCAGCTCATTCAAGTATTAATTATTTTTTGAAATTCTTTTTACAACATAAAAAACATTCCATTTAAAATAAAAAAACGTATTTACAATAAATTAAAACAATCCTTAGACCGTACATAAAACAGCTTCGAATTAATACTAGCTTTTTCAATAACACGTACATAAGAAAACTACACAATACGAGGCATGCGCAAATTTATGTAAACAACTGCGACCGAATCTGTATTAAAGTTTGTTATACATTTAAGCACGAATTAATTCTATGGTTACTGACACGCTATACATATACTCGGAACCTGCACTCTAATTTTCAAAAGGATTATTTTGGGATATTTGAACGCGCAAACAAGAAAGAAAGAAAGAAAGAAAGAAAGAAAGAAAAATTTGTAGGTAAAACAACTCATTTCATTCGTGTTTAATTACTTCAGTTTGATTCTTGATTTTGACCCCAAATGATACAAACACTATTTGAACGAAACTATGGTAGAAGCTATAGCCTAAAAAAATCTGAAAGCAAATTTAGAAATTAGTATTACTATTATTAATACATTCAAATGAACCAAGACATTTAAGTGTGCGTCTACCACAAATCTCTGCGCACAAGTAAATGTCAAAAGGAGCTAATGTATAATATCGTAAACTTCAAAAGGTTTTTGAAAACCGTTAGCATAGCACACTTCAATAGCCGGTTCACAAATGGTATAGACACTACGAACTAAAGGCTGTTTTATTCCGCTCTCATAATAATAATAATAATAACAATAATAATAATAATAATTTTGTAAAAGAGAGCTCACGTCTTCAGCAAACACGTGAACATGCTTTACAGATCAGCAAAACTTCCCTTGTATATTGAATGAGGCTTATGTTTTGTTAAATACATTTTATATCAGCACATGTCTATGACAAAAGGAATGATGAAAAATGCAGAATTATAGAGAACAACTTTATAAAAAGCACAATATTTCAGCTTTTCTTAGCCTGTTGAAACAGTTCCTTATCACCTGTTTATTTCCAGATGAAGTGTTTCTTTCGCACAAGTCATAAAATGCAATAAAAGAAGGGAGAGAAGGCACGACGTTTTCCCCCTCCTCTGCATCATCTCACCTCTTCCTTATACTCTGTATGCTTTACACTGTCCAGTCATGCGGGAAATGGTTTGTGAGTGCGTGTGTGCGTTTTCTTTTTGATGCAGTAAAACCTTCTTGCATCGGCTTCCAGATTTAAAAGACTCTTTGTAAAAGGCTTGAACGCCTGGCACCAGTCTGCGTTATTATTCTTTGGGCTGGTCCTTATTCATTTTCTTCATTTTCATCCTTCTGTTTTGGAACCATATTTTTACTTGTCGCTCTGTCAAGTTCAGCAGACGAGCTACCTCGTGTCTCCGGTCTCGGGTGAGGTACATATTGAACAGAAATTCCTTCTCCAGCTCCAAGGTCTGATATTTCGTGTATGGACATCGCTTCTTCCGGGATGATCGAGCGTGTAACCAGTTTGCAGATGGGTCGTCTGCAAATGACAGTCAAAAACAAGAAGAGCAGATCATAATATTAGAACAGATTCCAATATGAAACAGGAAACACATTTCACAATGCACTCAAAGTTACAGCTTTCACGAAGACTGAATGTTATTAAAATAAAGTGCTTTAGGGCGCCATCACTTACAAATGCATGAAAACCAACACCATGATGGATGAAAATAAAAGAAAGGAACGCAAAGCAATTTCATCCTGTTAACTTGATACGCAATAATAAAAACAATGTCTCTACGCTTAAACTGTAAAACCACCATTAGGCTACAAATTTGTACAAGAGGCCATCTAAGTTCACCTGTGATGATCCATGTCATTCATCTCCCTGCAACGGAGAACGTGAAAGCAATGAGGAAAAAAATAAAATAAGAAAAGGACTGAGGGGAAAGAAAGGTTTGATTTTGAACTCTACAGGGATTTTAACCATACTGGAATGCACTGTAAAATATGGTCACATGTGACATGAGATTATCTCCTTTTTAGGGAGAAATGTGGGATGAATTACGGAGGAAGAGCATCTCTAACGAGGCGTCTTCTCCCTCAGTGGTTTGGTCGGGAATGCAGATGGGAGGCTGAAAAGTTTCCGTTGTGCTGACTTTTGTTAACAAGCACATGGAAAAGCTGAATGTTACAGCGACTCGAGATTCACTGTGATGACGAAATTGATGTCACCTGTGCATGTCTTCCGTACCTGTTTGGGTTCAGTGACGTCAAGGGAAAATTTCTACCATGCTGGTGCTTCATGCTCTCTTAAAGTGCATACTAGTCGAATGAAAAACCTTCAACGTTTGGCACATAACTCCACTTTTCAGGGGCTCAGACAGATTGGTATGCTAGCATGTTATAAAAAGCCACGTATTTGTAGATTTGCATTTGTTTCCCATCCTATGCGTGGAAACTCCATCGCTTCTGCCTCATACACATCGAGCCACACATCAGCTTTCTACGATATCCCAAATCTTATGACGCAACTGTATTTTCCTATGATGGAATGAGATACAAGCATCTTAAATGATTAATGCGCGTGTCATGTCAGCTAGAGGCCTCGCGGACACGTCTGTATATAACTTGCGACTTGCGAGACAGGACCGAGATGTGATCCCTAACAATGAAACACTAAGAGGGTCATGCTATATGATGAGGAAAGTGACGTGCGTTTCCATTAATAAAAATGAATCAAAATCCACAAATTAGCTAGGCCTACACAAAGTTTAGAATTGAATTTATTGCATGTAGGCAATTTGATCAAAACGTTTTCAAATACAATACACCTCTGACCTTAGGATTGCATTTGCCCATGTTTGGATTGAATCGTATTTTACTCTGAGAATTTTTTAACGCAACATATCCCAAAGAGCTCACGTACGATTAATGGGGATGTTGGCTCCTCCGGTAACTTAATAGACTTGAAAGCTATAACTTTTTCCTTCCCATGGGCAGCCATGAGCACAAAGCGGGACGTGTAACTCCCAACATCATTGCTTTTGCCTACAGTTTATTCTGGAATGCCGCCCGGGGTAGCACATTGGGGATTTCTATTGCGCACAATTCCATTAGTTCACAGTGCTGCAGTCTATTTCACGGATTAAAGTCAATGGCCTTTTCAAATTCATTGCGACAAAATCGAAAAGGATCGTTGAACAAATCCCTAAGAATTAAGCTGCATTTCTGAAATTGTTGGAATAATTTGGCAATAAATAATCTTACATGGTTATGAGCTGGAATTATTCTATGGATAATTCTCTGCACCGGCTCAAACCCACTCTTGAGGGAGCTCAAGAACAGGCAAACAGGTCGGGGAAAAACATACAATCCCCCCAGCAACCAGATTTACCACTAAAAACATATTTATGCAATATTTATTTTGTGGTACTCAAATACCTTGACCTCAGGGCTTATATACAGTCAATAATATTTACACAGAAATAGAATTAGATAAAATAAATAAATTCAAGGTTCAGATGAAACGCAAATAAACCATATAATAGTTTTGCTAACCAAGAGCTACTAAACATAAAACTAACATTTGCACTATAGTATAAGTAAGAGAGGCTTTGGAGAGTCATTGCACCAAAAAAAAGCTGGTTACAGCCGACCCAAAACTGGCTGGTGCACTGACGCGCAAATAAGGGACTCTAACAGAGATAGAAAGAGAACGAATATACTAAAAGTTACTCAAGAATTAAATAAACGCAAACAATATGATGGGAAAATTAAAGCTTGTTTTATAAATGTGTGAAACCTCTACGTGACTCAGAGTCATCTACCTCTACAGGCAAAGCAAAACAGTCCTCAGCGATGCTATATAGGCTATGTATAGCATGGCTAAATCATACATATCTGGGTAAAAAAGTATATTCGTTAAAAAAAAAACTACATGCTAGCGAAGACGTGAGAATGCTATGATCATACTTGGCTGCGTAGGTGTCTGTTGCTCTCCGTTGCTTTGTTCTAGTTTTATGACAGCATTAAACGCTTTACAGAGTGTTCACTTCCTAGGTTTATAACTTACTTTGATCCGGTCCCTCTTTGTCCTCGCTGCCTTCGCATATGTCCTTATTGTCTTCAAACCCGGCGCTGTGACTAGAATTAATCTCTCGTGCTGTAGAGGACTCCAGGATATACTCATGCTGCCCAACTAGTTTCGGTGGTTCCCCGAGATGTCCCAGGAGCGGCTCCATCTTGACCTGTCCTTGCCCAGACAGAGGCTCTGCTCTCGGAGCACAGTCGAGCCATGTGCGGAGGTATCGAGTATCCGTTGAAGGCACTGGCTGCGTCGTTATGTACGGATGGTAGATCGCGGGTAAGCCATTGGACGCGTGGGAACTGAATGGACTCCATGACGAACTGAAAACTGGAGGCTTGGGCTGGAAGCTACAAGAGGGGAACTCGGGATGCTCGCCGGGTCCCGGTTGTCTAGCGCTGGAGTACTGTACATTGGAGAAGCGGGACGCGTTCGGATCTTCTCCCTCATGACTTATGATAGAATCGACATAGTAGTTGCTTAGAGTTCCAGAAATGGACATTCTCGGACATTATATAACGTACTGTTCATTAAAGGGAAAACATGTACAATAGAAATGTGCTTTACTCCCCTCTTTACGGTACTCCTCTCTACTCACTCGCCAACGAAGTAGAGCCGGGCTGCTGTTGTGTGCGCTCCGAGCGAAGTGATTGGTCAGACTTTTTTCGCGAGCCTGATAAAGCGTCAATGGGGGTGTAAATCAATCCGCCAAGAGGTTGTACGGAGCTCTCCCCCTCTTGCGCTCTCTATATTCCCCATCTAAATAAATTGTCTTGTTTATGCAATATGCAAAATGGGAGCGTGTCCATATATCTCCAGATATCTACAAGCCGTCGGGAAAATGTCAACTTAAATTATGAAACGTTTTGACATTATATAAAAAAAAATGCATATGCAGGGCAATGGCCCACAATAATAAGTGAGAGAAAATTTTTGTCTATGAATTGATGTGGCATTATATCGTGATCTACAGCATAAGTGCTGAATGGGAGCTTGATCATATTTGCTTGATAAAATGTATTACATTAACTATTTAATATAGGCAATTTATCGAGATATTTAACAGGACTTTGAAAGACACCACAAAAACCAAATTAAGGCGGTGACGTCTGCTTATAAAGTTTACTCAACCGATTTTTTTTCACTAAAATATTTTACTCCTCCACGTGTTTAAACGTCTAAACCTCCGAGGAGACAAACCTATTCCTTTTTGGAGTAATAGGAGTACGCTGAGATAATGAACAGCTTTATTGGGAAATTAACAGTCATTTTTTGTTAACGAGGGTATTAAACACCACCGTGCGACAATCCCCTTGTATTTATGGAAGAAACTACTTGAACTTTTTTGGTCGTTTAATACTATAATAAAATACTACATCAGGCAGCTTTGATTTTTATAGGCCTGATATACTGCCTGTGGCGAGGACCGTGAACGACTCCGCTAGTATTCCATCCAGTCGCTCATTTCACACACACAAATAAACAGGATTTTCTTTTTATTTTATCACTTTATTCAGATACACACCAGTCCATTCTACTCTCTCTGCAACATTTAGCAACAGAAATTCTAAATTACGCTTGCAAAAAGGCAAGTGTTTCAGGAAGGATTTCACTGTCTGTGGTGGATGTCTTGGACCATCAATGCAATGTAATACAATATAACAGTGATTTCAGCACTTGCTGTGTGTCTTGACCGTGCCCAATAAATAGTTGCCCCTAATATACAAGAATGAATAGAGCACATGATGCTGTTGTGCCTCGGCAAAAGGACAATAGCAAATTATGTTTCTAAATTTACAAAAGTCATTAAAACTGAAAAAAGACATTAAAGCAACTATTACCATCTTATTTCATGTGAGTTTAAATAGCCCATATAGCTTCGTGCTAGGTTTATAACAACACCCGTAACCACAGATAAACAGGGCATGTTGCATAATAAGATACATTTGTGCAGTAAGTTGCTCTATAGAATCTCTAAAACCACTAAAATGTTAATTACATCAGGAAAAGGCTATGCACTTAAATCACAACCCAGCCGTTTTAAAGGGCATGTAACAACATTTAAAAATCAACTCGTCACCAGTGCATTAATTCACATTGTGCATTCAAAAATCTCTGCTTTCTGCTGGAATTACTAGAGAAAAGGATACATAATCTAAAAAAAAAAGTGCATCGAAAGCTAGACATTAAGCCTATATTGTAATCTATTTGGATCGTATTTCCTTACGTAAAATTAGGCCTCTATACTATGAATAAGAGCATACCGTGGAACATGCCACATACTATCAAGCTAGTTAAAATGTATGATGTGATATTCTAAAACAAAAAAAAAAAAAACAAAGCAAAAAAAACAGGCATAGCCTACTGGTGAGCATACAAGTTTCAAGTATTTCTTTTAGTGAAATTCGTGTTTAGAGAAGTACTGTTTGCTGTGACCACAGAAAATACAATTTTATTTAACATATTCCTGTTTATAAAGAAACAACGCCTATTTTCAATTTTGAACAAAGAAATTTCATTCAAACAAATGTTAATCATCGAGATGCATCTTACACTCTTAAAAATAAAGGTGCTTCAAAAGGTTCTTCAAGCGATGCCATAGAAGAACCATTTTTGGTTCCACAAAGAACCATTCAGTCAAAGGTTCTTTAAAGAACCATCTCTTTCTTACCTTTTTGTAATCTGAAGAACCTTCTTTCGCCACAAAGAACCTTTTGACAAACAGAAAGGTTCTTCAGATGTTAAAGGTTCTTTATGGAACCATTTAGACAAAAAGGTTCTTCTATGGAATCGTGAAGCACCTTTATTTTTAAGAGTGTAGCACACGTATTTGCAAATAAATATCTATTTACAAGAATAACGTAATCTGTAGGACATTTTTGAAATCGTTATAGTGTTAGCTTCCTTTGGCTGTTAAGCATGACTCAGTATCTTCCTCGTCCACATTCTGGATATGTTTGATATTTTAGCATGAAGTTTCTTCAAGTAGGCCTAATCAAGGCATCAGCAACAAAGAGATTAATGTATCCTTTTCAAAGCAAAGCTTAAAATGTCTTAATATCAACACCGTTTTATAACTATTATGTAAGTACCCTAAACATATAAAAGAGTGGACCTTAACTGGAAGGTCAAACTGCACGTCTCACCTTCAATATGGAGAGTTTCTTGTATCGAGTGGGCCAGTGCTGTAATACGAATTTACATGTTGCAAGAATTTGTAAAATTTCGAATTTCGCCATATTTTTTGCTGGTATAGCCTACCGATGACTTCAGCAATGATAGCATATTGACCAATATTGTTGCACGCTATTAGTCACCACAAGTAGGCACTCTGGAAACGTTACCACGGAGTGTATAATTCAAATCATCAACAAATGCAAATTTACAAAGTTTCCACATCAAAACGAAGTTTTCTACTGCTCTAATGAGTTTGTTCTAAAGAAATATCACAGTTAATCAGATTTTTTTATATGATAAAGCCTATATGACAAAAACTAATTCTGTTGTGGATTTGTCACTTATTGTGGATTTCTTAACACAACAGCTTCTAAAACGACAGAATTGATGAGATATGTTCTACACGGTTTTTGGTCAATTTATTACTGTTTTAGCAAAATTATTCCTCCCTGTATATTTAAAATGTAAATTAACAATAATATAAAAAATTAGATCTTCAACGATCTGTTGAAAACTACACTGGCGGCTAGTCACACACAAAGCTTCACACAAAGCTTTACGTGAAAATACAAATTAAACCAGAGAGACAGCAGTTGCTCAGTTGACTACATTAGGAATACACACAATAGTACAACAAGTAAAAACAACCAACTTTCTACACGGATGAGACCAAAAGAAACGCGTTTTTTCATAGATCATGTGTTTATATAAAAAATATGAAATATGTATGTGTGTGTTTTATACAGCATGAAAAGGTGTTTATTCTACTCTAACTGCAAAATTTTACAGGTGATCACAATTGATTAACATCACATTTCCTAAAACATTTGAATATTTATAAAATAGTTTAGTAACCTATATAATTGAGGCATTGTGTTGGAATTTTTAAAACTTAAAATTGTGTTTTAAAATCGTACAGGACTTGTATCTGCCAACTCACCGGCGCGAAGTAAAAAAAAAAAAAAAACAGGCCATTTTGAAAAAGGAGGGAAAGCTATCGAATAAATGCAGTGTTGTGGATGAACAGATTTACAACCCGCTTGTAGCCAAGTTTTCATCATTAAAAAAAATTTGAATATTATATATGCCAGTTACTGAGTGTGTAAGTAATATGCAAAAGAAAGAACCAACACGATGTAATGTCTGCAATAATAACAAAAGCATGATCTGTAAGAATCGCTCGTTTACAAGGATTATTAAATCAGTATTTTCAATGAAGTCGACACTATATCCTCATTCCACGTTGAACGGACAATGGTGTATTTAACTGGAGCAATTCAGGCAGTTTCAGGTTCCTGTGAAATTAAACGTCCAGCCCAACAACTTGAAACTACCTAAATCACAGACCAGCTTGGTCTTCTCCGTGTTCAAAGGCAAGACCTGAAAGGCTGCCAGCAGTCTAGCGTCCAAAAGTACTGAACCAGATGAGCACTCATATTTCAGTGCTGTCTTTTAACAGAGGACTGCTTAACTGAGGAACCGTATTAGAGGGCACTAGAGCTAAAATCTCAAGAAATCAACTGGAACATTTCTGACCCACTGCGGGGAAAGGAGATAGCGAGAATTGTTTAAAGACGTTGCTTGAAATAAAGTAATTTAAGTTCACAAGCATGTCCGGTTCTCTCCAGACTGTCGGCAATAAAAGGTCTATATTGCCCCCTGTTATAAAAAGAGGCCCCTGCCTGGCCAAATGACGTTGGGGATTGTCCCTTCTCAACATGGCGGTTCACCAAAGCAAAGACAAAAGAGGAGGAACTGTAACAAGTCAAGTAACATCAGCATATGTTCAGAATTATTTCTTACGCGCCGAAAAATCTCGGACAGAATGGAAAAAAAGTAAACAACTGATACATTTCATCTTCACTTAAATGAAACCTACAAAAATATAGCACATCTCATAACACAATACAAATTTAATAATAAAAATCCTTCATAGTGCAAATTAACATACAAAAGTTTCAAACATCCATACCTAACGTTCACATGCTTTACCATTATATCCGGTTATTTCTTCTTAGTGCACATATTTAAGACACTCAAGAAAGCGCTCACAATATTTTTCGGCCATTCAAACACAGGTCTAGTAATGCAAACCTGAGATATTTGAGATGCGGATGAAAGAAGAACGTAAAATGAATCCAGATGTGTAAATATAACTTCACCTTAACTTCTAAAATTCAAATAGCTCCATTTGAATTTACAATAAATTAATTCCAGGTACAATATAATTTGCATTTTTGATACACTTACGTTATATGTTTTGTAACATATATTTCTGGTTAAAAAATAGTTTGGGCTAGCCTAATAAAATAAAATAAAAATAGTAACAATATATTTTCTTTTCTTTTGGACTTTTGGAGTGTCAAGACAACGACTGCACACATTCTATTAATAAAATGGAATTTCAAAAAGTTTTGTTCAAATTAAACTCAAATGTCTTT